GCATCCCTAAGCCGAGGCCCGGGGGTGCTGAGGGGTCACCCCGGCTCTGCGTGGCCGGACCCGAGCGGGTGACAAAAGCCGTTCTCCTGCCTGTCACTGCTCTCTGTCGTGACAAGGTACGGCCCCAAGGCGAAGCGGCTCCTTTAGCAGGGAGCCGCGCACCCCAGCACCCCATTCTGAGAGGTGCGGGAGGTGCTGGACCAGGCTGGGACCCCCTCCTGCCTTGTACGGAGCATCCCGGGCTGCGGAGGAATGGAGAGAGGGCGTTTGTGGGGTTTCCCCTCCCCAGGGCAGGTTTTTCTGACTTGCAGGGCTTAAACCTACTCAAAGACTTAGTGAGCCTTTAGCAGGGAGCCGCGCACCCCAGCACCCCATTCTGAGAGGTGCGGGAGGTGCTGGACCAGGCTGGGACCCCCTCCTGCCTTGTACGGAGCATCCCGGGCTGCGGAGGAATGGAGAGAGGGCGTTTGTGGGGTTTCCCCTCCCCAGGGCAGGTTTTTCTGACTTGCAGGGCTTAAACCTACTCAAAGACTTAGTGAGCCGGAAATTCCCTGTCGCTGCGAATACAAGTGCCAAAGCAGAGCCTGAGAAGGAGTCTTCTATTGGCAAGGGAAGGGAGGTTGCTTGGCAATAGCTAGGAAAAGCCCTAAAGAAAGTTAAAAGAGGAAATCCAGCCACTTAAGCATTTTGTTCTTATGGGTTTTGACAGCTCATCTCTTTTTTTCCTTAATAGCTTAGTCTCTCAGAACCTGCTTCTCACTTCCCTCCCCTCCCTCTGCTCTTTGGGAGCTGCAGCAGTTTCATAGGTGATTAGAACATGAACCGATGTGCCCTCTCCAGATTTATTGTTATTAATATATGCTGGTTTCCCAGAGAGCAGGCTGAGAAAGCAGCACAGAGCGTTTGGTCCTCTAAAGCACCAGAAATACAAAGGAGGAACCCTATGGTCCCCACAGCTGTGGGACTGACACCGCTTCGGGACCATCCTAGGGCTTATTGCCCTGCTCCCGAGTGGGTGTTTCCTGCAAAAACCCCATTTTATTTGAGGTTTTGGGGGCAAGCAGGGTGCGTGTGTATTGTGACACCCATGGGTTGGTGCCACGTCTGCTAATGCTGGGTCTGGGCAGGGTGGTGGAGGAGCTGTGGGGCAGCCAGGGGCTGCTGTTCCCCTGCACACCCTGTTTCCAGCAGCACCTCTGGGTCAGAGCTGGTCAGATGAGGATCTGATCTTGTCTCTGTGTGGCTGGAAGTAGGAAATTGCCACAGCTGATTTCTGTCTCTTCAATGAGAAGGTTTTTAATGACAGAGGAGGAGAGAGCAGGGTGAGGCAGGTGCTGGTTATTGCAGGCGTGGAGCTGGTTCTGCCACCCTCATGTACCTGGAGTTACAGGGGACAGGATCATGATGTGGGTACTGTGTCTGCCGTGGTCCTTTGGGCTTTGGTGCTGCGACTCGGGGATTTCCCTCTGTTCCTGTCCCCTGAGTGATATCCTGAGGCAGGAAAGAGGGTCCAAGGCACCCCAAGAAGCAGCAGCAAGGGTGGCAGTGGGCAGCCCTGGCTGGTGCTGCTGTGAGCAGCCTGGTGGGCTGGAAACGCAGCATCGGAGACCTGGCTGCTAAATATAGACCCTGGATCATGATCAGAGGAGGCAGGGACCCCTCTTGCTCACCTCCTCCCATTTCTCTTCCTTGACAAAAGGAAAACTCTTTTCTCTGTCTGGAGCCAGTCCCTCTTACCGTGGAGATTCTGACCTGGAAGCAGAGGGGGACCTTTTTGGGCACGGTGAGCTCCAAGGGCAGCAGCAATGAGGGTGCAGGGGTCTCTGCATGCAAGCGGCACATCTGGGGCAGCACTGGGGTCTGGCTGCCTCAGCAGCCCTCACTTGTTGGGGTTTTCTCCTCGGCTGCAGCTTGTTGAGGAAGAATAGAGTGCATGTGCTGGGAGCCAGGAAGGTGCTTTTGGGGGGCTATTCTACCAAAAACGTTCACTGATAGTCCGCTGCTTGCGTTGCTCAGTGAAAGCATTGGGACATCGTGGCACTTCTCAAAGCCTCATGTGGTGTCTGTGTCCCCCCGTGGCACCGGTCCCCTCCTGGCCTGGGGGAGCCGGTGTGTGCCTCTCCTTCCCCTCTGGGAGGATGGTTCAGCATCTGGAAGCTCTGCTGGGCGCCAAGTCCATCTTGTTCAGCTTGGTGTGGGTCACTCAAGGAGATGGGTGGGGAATGGGGCATGGCCCTGGGGCACACTGCAGCCAGTGTGCGTGTGGAGGAGTTTGGGTGCTCAGGTTTTCCTGGGGTAACCTGGAATCTTGCCACCAAAATGTGTTTTGTTTATAGAAAACCTCATTTTTTCCTTGCAGGTGTATGAACACAAACACGTGCTCCCAGCCCTCCAAAAAACTTTAGTTCTGGATGGATGTTTTTTCCCCACTAGTTTTTAGGGTACATCGAACTGTTCTCAGGTGTGCTGAACTATTGCCCTTTCCTTGCTATCAATTGAGGCAATAGGTGCTAAGCTCATGCTTTCTTTCTCACCCTGCCAGGCAGGAATTCCACCTGCAGCAGCAGCCCTGCATCCTTGCTCCCACCACCGAGGCTTTGTGGGACACCCTGTTCTCTGGGACAGCTCTGACAGTGTCTGTCTTGCAGGTTGTATCTGCCTGTTTTAGCTGTCTTACAGCACATGTGTTACCCATGTGCAGGTGCCAATTCGGAAGATTTTTTTTAGCTCTTGCCAGCACTTGTGCTCAGCTCTCTCTTCCTCTGTGTGAAACCCCAGGGTGCTCAAGCAAGCTGAGAACATCAAAAAAGATGTGGCTGTTTTGGGGACCGGACCCGAACAGAATCCGCTGTGACGTGTCCTTCACAGAAGCCATCAACCAAAGGATGCAGGTTCCCAGCAGACTGAGGGTAGCAGACAGCTTCAGCCCTGTGGATGAGGAGCCAGTGACAGAGGATGTCCCTCCTTCCCTTCGGATGCACATCCCTGACAGGATTTCTCTTGCAGGTGATGTCCTGGGTTGTTTTTTGGGGTGGTTGAAGGTTGGTGGGGCACTACAGCATTCTAGGATCCCTTTATAAAGCCCCCAGTGGTTTGCTTTTCAAGAGGAGAGGACAGGAGTGGATACTGCAGCCAGCTTTCTTCTGGAAGGAAGGACAGGATGGTGGAGAGATGCTTGGGCAGAGGTGGGCAAAGGTGACCAACAGGAGGCAGGAGGGGGTCTTAGTTCCAAAAGAGGAGGAGCAAAACCCGGAGGCGTCTCCTTCCACATCTCTTCCTCAGCTCTCTATGCTCTTGGCCTTTGGTAGGCTCCCTGCTTTGGGATGCAGGGATGTGTGGCCCTGTCTCATGGAAAAACAGCCCCGCTCCCCGCCCCCTGCCTCTCCAGGCTGTCCTGCTGCTCACATCTGCAGGACATGGTTTTTGATGTATGGGTGCATCCCTCTTCTCCCCTGTCCTGAGGGCATTCGGGCTGGTTTAACCCTTCCCTTTCTCCTCTCTGTAGATACACCAGATGCCAGTTTGAGGCCCATGCTGCTGACCCAGCAAAGGGGGGTTCCCTCTGTCACCCGCCCCCTGCCTCTCCAGGCTGTCCTGCTGCTCACATCTGCAGGACATGGTTTTTGATGTATGGGTGCATCCCTCTTCTCCCCTGTCCTGAGGGCATTCGGGCTGGTTTAACCCTTCCCTTTCTCCTCTCTGTAGATACACCAGATGCCAGTTTGAGGCCCATGCTGCTGACCCAGCAAAGGGGGGTTCCCTCTGTCATGGTGCACGTGTCCCCAGCCTCTGCACAGCCCACGTGCCGCGGGGATGCCCCTTACCTGCCCGTCACCAGCAGATCAAGCTCCCAGAAGCGCAAGCGATCGGTACCGCATTGGGGGTGGATGGGGTTGTCTGTGGTGGGAAGGGGCAGCAATCCCAGCGCTGGGTTTCTCCAGAGGTCTGTTACCAGCCCAAGCCAGAATTCATCTACCAGAGCATGACCTCTTCCTCCGAGGCCCTAGGGGTGAGGGTGTAGGGGTGGTGGGATCTCTTTCTGTCCCATCACCAGCACACACCTGCATGCTGGGACATTGATTCAGCCACATCTCCTACCGCATTTTGTGAGCAGGAGGTAGGCTGAGGTAAGTGCAGTCCCCCCACAACCTCCTCCTGCTACTTTTAGAGTCCCTTTTCAACCGCTGCTTCTCCTGGGTGAAGTACAAGAGGGAGCTGTTTCATCATTGCAGCGTAAAGGGTTCTGGTGTAAGAGCTGAAAGCAGGTCTTGACCTTGTGCGAAACCGAGGAGAGGCCCTTGACACGGGCAGGCAGAGGCTTGGTTTGGCAGCTGGAGCTGTTGATCTGACTTTTTGAAGTGCTTTCACCTCCCTGAGATTCAAGAGCTGTTGCTGGATGCATTAAGCTCAGGAGTTTTGATCTCAATAGAGATCAGATCAGCAGGCTCCTTGCTGGTGACACTCGCTCTGCACTGAGCACATCTCCCCATCACCAGGTTTGGGGCTCATGTGATGCTCTCCGCACTGAGTGCTTCCCTGTGCTGCTGGGCACGGCAGGGCACACAGGGCTGGGCTCACCCTGTGCTGAGTCTCTGTGCTAACACGGGTGTGTTTGATGCCAGCAGGGCCACCACCACAGCAAGTCGCGGCGGGAGAAGGCTCCAAGTGACGGTGCCATGCTGGCCATGCACAGCCCAGGCCAGCACCGTGAGCGGTGAGCATGAACCCGGAGCCGTCTGGGGCGGGTGGGATCAGCATCTCCTGTCACCAGCGCTGTTTTGATGCTCTCTGGTGTCAGTGCCCTGAGGTGGAGGGTATCCAGATCGGGGCAAGACAATGCCTAGCAGGTCCTGCTCTTGCACGAGAGCAATGTGGCTTCTGCTGTCAGAGGGGTTTATACCAGGCAGTGTTGAGGCAGCTGTGTGGGTCTCCAGGGTGATGAGCTCCCTGCTGAGATGCACACAGGAGAGCTGTCGGTCCTTGCCTGGCCATTGCCCCAGGAGCTGCCCGTTCTTGCTTGTCCTCATCTCTGTGGCACTGTCCATCTTCCTCGCAGTGCTTTGCAATGTGTTCTCTTGTTCCAGCACCAGCATGGCAAAGCACTAGGGACTATGGGCAGGGGACCACTGGGAAACGAGGCACTAGGGCTTACGGGCTTCCACAGGGGTTGTTGGAACTTGTGGCACCTTGCAGATGGAGTGGGCTAGGAGCACACTTGCTTTTCAGCTCTTTGAGTGTAGCTGGTGAGAAGTAGCACAGTGACAGCGATCCAGAGACTGTCTAGTGGAGGAATTGTCTCTGGCTAATCTCAGAGCAGAGCTACCTTTCCCCCTACAAGTCCAGGGTTGTCCTGGGTGACAGGAGAGCTGCTTTCTGCAATCCCTGTGAGAGCAGCTGGTGAAGGTCTGGTTATCACACAGCCATGGTTGGCTTTGGAGTCGTTGGGTGCCTGCCTCTGAGCATGGGGGCTGCTGGACAGGTTTCTCCTATTGGTTATACAGAGGTCAGGGTGCTGATGGTATTGCCCAGAGATGCCTGGAGGTGCTGAAGGGATGAAGGGCACTGCCAAACGCCAGGCTGTGCCTGTGCTGGACAAGGCCAGTCAATAACAGGCATGATTCTGTGTGCACCTCAGGCTGGACCCATGTCCCCTGCCCGTGTGCAGTGCTCCATTCCCCCTCCTCACGAGGACAGGCAGGATCTACTCCATGCAGAACATCTTCCAGACCATGTACCTCCTGGGCCAGATGCTCTTCCACCGGGTCCAGAGCTCCCTGCAAGACCCAGTGCCATCCAGGTGACCGGCTCCTCTTGAGCCACCTCGCTGCATTCTAAGGGCTCACCTTTGCCTTGCTAAGCTAAGTTACAGGCTCTGTAACCCTCAGGCTGCGCGGTGCAGGAGCAGGATGGTCCTGCATGGCTGCTCCTTCTTGCCTGTCCTGTCTGCCAGCTCTGGATGCCTGGCCCAGGAGCCTTGGGTGCAGCCAGCCACTGCTAACCCAGCCCAGCCTGTGCCTCCTGCTTAGCTTATTAACACCAGTGCCCCGAGTGACCACAGGGACACTGTTGGGATTTCAGCTGCTCTGCGCTGCCAGGCAGGTGCTAATTTTCCTGCGTGCCTTGATGGAGAGAAATGTGCAGAGGGGATTGAAATCCAGAATGGCCGGATTTAGGTCCTGCCCCGAGACACCCTCTCCTGAAGGCTGCCAGCTGCATCTTGGTCACTCTTAATTGCCCTTTTCCACTAACTGGCTGCACTGAGTTACTCGTGCCTCTGGCTGGGTGCAGTATGCCTGTGTGCTCACTGCAGCAGGTATGCAGTGACCTCGGTCTCTCTGGATGTGCTGGAGCAACTGTCTCCACAGCACTTACACCTGTATAAGAGCAGTACGTTTTAACATGTTCAAAGATGTCATTGCAGCCTTAAGGTGTCCGCACTGCTCTGAGGCTGCTCAGCACCTGGAGGAACATTGAACTGCTTCTAATTCTCCTTGAGCAAAGCTTCTGGGCAGAAAGGGAGGAGAGTGAGCATCCATCACCAGTGGCACACCAGCCTTCCCTCCCCAGCTGCTGTGGAGGTGCAGGCAGAGAGCTGGCACCAGCCTGTGGATAGTGCTTTGTGTTGTCCCTGATTTAACCACAGCAGGCTGGCTGTCTTCAAATGTCGCTTTTGTTTGAAGTGAAGTCAGAGCATGCCAGCAGATCTGGTTAGTGGCTATGTGAGACCTTCTTCCTCCCGTCAGCAGTAGAGGAGGCTTAGGCCACAGTACCACGGTAGTGGTAGGTTGCGGGGCTGCTGCAATGCAGTGGGGTGAGTCCCAGACCTCTCCCCAGCTCTCCCATTCCCTTTGAAGCTATCGACCTTGAAATGCCTTTTCTTGGTACTTTACATCATTTCAGAGGCACGTGGTATCTCTTTGGTACAACAACTTTATACCTCTGTGCAATAATAACAATAAAAAATGACTGAGGTGACTTGTTTATCCTGAGATTTTAGTAAAGAGAAGCCTGCTCTTGGGCAGAGAATGGAGCATTTACCTGACAGTGACCTCTTGAAGGGGATGAGTTGCTAGAAGGTAGTTTCTAGCCTCCACTCCAAAGGTTGTTCACCTGTATCAACCGGGACTTTCAGTCAAAAGCTGCAGTAAGTGTCCTTTTTTAAGGGCTCTGTGCTGGGGAAATTGGATTTCCTTTCTGTTGTGACTTCCATTTTGCACTGCAGCCACATTACATGGAAGCATTATCTCACAAATGTGTTTTCAGACAGAGATTCACTGAATCTCCACACAGTGTCCTGGCCTGTCTTCAGTGAGATCAACATCAGGTTGCAAACAGGAATAAACACCCTCTCTTCCCCAAGGAGCTGTGTTAGATGCTTGGTAACCTGTATGGTATCAGCAAGTGCCTGTGCCCATTGGTGCGCAGAGGGGAGCTTGCAGAAGAGCTGATGTAGAACTAGCCTCTGAGGATAGAGACAACAGTCTGAACATGGAAATCTCCATTTTTCTCACTGTAGATCTACTTCATTTAGTGGCTGGGTCTCCAGGGGATGCCCTGGACATCTGTAGTCTGCATTGCCTCTGCCAGTGCAGCAGCTAGTGCCAGTGGTGGCCTCTGCTTCCAGGAATGGAAGGAAGTGGTGCGTGCTTGGGTTGCTCATTTATGTTTCAAGCTGCAGGTAAAATTTGCTATAGAAGCAAAAGGTGACACTTTATTTTTGTCAGGGGAGTGGGGAAAGTGAGTTTGTGGTATCTGGAGATACTAGAGAGGAGCAGATCCTTGTCTTGGCAAACACAGGACCGTTTTCTGCTGGGTGATGCACTTGCTCAGATAGTTGCCCCCAGTTGATGGCCGCTTCCCACCAGTGGGATCCTCACCTGCTGATGTGTGTGAGATCATCCTTCCATTTCAGCATCGGCCCTGTGATACGTATTTACCTGACTGGCTCTAAAGATGGTTTATACGATGAATTCCTCTGACTGATGGATGCTTGGTAAATGTTTTCTCTCTGTTGAACCTTTACGGAAATACAAGCATGTGTTTTCCCTGTTGCATGTCATGTTCTGTTGTGATCACTCCGGGGGTGCATGGTGGAGGGGTATAAATACGCATGATGGGGGCTCAGAAGAGGTGAGGAGGTGCTGCGTTTCCTGCATCCAGACAGCACATCCTGGGCACGCTGCCTGCATGGCTCTGCCCCCCCCAGCAGTGCCGTGCATGGGGGGAGGCACCTCTGGAGCAGTGTTTGTCCCTCTGCATCTCTGCTTTTCTTCCCCAGCTCCCAGGAGGCTGGCCCAGCCCCAGAGAGTGCCTTGGAGGAGGCTGGAATGAGTGAGATGGCAGCAATGAGAAAGCAGGTGAGCTGGGGGTGAAGGGCTGGAAAGGTTTCCTGGGAAAGCCATCAGAGGGTGGATGAGGAGGCTCCGGGGGTCCATTGCTCAGTGCTGATGGGCTGGTGTTGCCAGTTAATCCCAGCTGATGCTGCTGATGGGGAAGCAGGGGAGGACTTACACGTGTGCTGCCCCATCAAGCTCTGGCCCTTGAGGGGCTGTAAGGCTGCAGGAGACAGCCAGACCCCTCTGTCTGCTGGTAGTAAAGGGCTCAGATACTCTTCTGATGGGAAGGATCTCTGCTCAGGAGCTGAGGATCTCTGCTAGTTCTCTTACATGATAGACGGCTGCTGCTTTAGCAAAGGAGGACCTGGAGGAGATGGCAGTTCCCACCCCTCTGTCCCTTGCTGTCCCACACCTCTGGGGTGCTCCAGTGTCCTGCACAGGTCTGACAGCAGCATCCCCACTGCTTCCCTTGCAGTTGACGAGGATCTCAAGCCGGCTGCGGGTGCTGGAGGAGCAGTGCAACGCCTGGAGGCAGAAGGAGACCCTGGTCTACTCCGTGCTGATCTCCGCCTGCCTCATCAACACATGGCTCTGGATGAGGAGATGATTCCCTGTGCCCCGACCTGTCCTGCCCAGCGCTGGCAGGGTGGCTGAGGGCAGAGCGAGGATCCCTGCTCGTGTACTTGCAAACAGTAAACCTGTGAACCCATGTGTTTCCTCTGACCATGCCCTGCTTTTTTCACTGAGGATCTGTGTCCTTTAAGCCCCGATGACAATGAAGGTGCCATCCCTCTCCTACGCTCTAGCATCAGAGGTGGGTGAGGGAAGCGATGAAGCTGGAGATGGGTGTCAGGGCAAGGTGGGGTGCTACGGCCCAACAGGCATAGTCCCAGGGCTGGGCTGTGGCTGCAGATGCTCTGTGTACACTAGCAACCACCTTGTGTGTTTGATGGGCTCAGTGCTTACGTAGGAAGCTGCTGTGAAGAGCCCAGGTCTTGTGGCTGATACAGGAGGTGTCTGTCCTGCACAAAGCAACAGAAGACCCTCTGGCCCCTGGGTGTCTGCCAGAGGAGATGCAAACCCAAGGCATTGAGTGTTTTTGGACACAGGGTCCTGTAAGAGTCCTAAAAGCCAGTGTGCCCAGTCCCCTGATTAGATCCCAGTTTGGATAACGCTGTCTGCCAGAGGAGATGCAAACCCAAGGCACTGAGTGTTTGTGGACACAGGGTCCTGTAACAGTCCTAAAAGCCAGTGGGCCCAGTCCCCTGATTAGATCCCAGCTTGGATAACCCAGTTCTGACCCCTTAAAAGTCCTCAGCCAACTGATGAGGGGGTCTGTTCCTCGTCTTTCACTCCAAAACCTTCTTTAAACTGCTGGTGGGTTTTCATCCCTTCCTTGTGCAACTGCTCCTTGGTGGAGGTGGTACTGCCAGGTCTCCCATGCCATAGCCCCTGCTCTAAGAGGTGTGGAGCTGGAGGAGCCAGCAGTTCCCATCCCTGCTGCTGTGCAGCCATCTCGGCTCCTGTCCTGCTGGAAGCAGTTCAGCAGCATGTTTGCAAACATTCAAATCCAAAGAGACTGTAATCGCTGAGGTCTGGGCTTATCCTGCAGCTTGGCTCTTTCCCAGGGAGATTTAAATGGGAAACCTCCCCATGGTGACTCTCTGGATTATAAGACCTCGAACCAACAGTGATAGCACCAGACAGGCCGTGGAAAATTGCCCATTTGGGCAGCAGTAGATATTTGTTAGGTTGCCAATGCCAGAGGGCAGGATTGCTCCAGGTCCGCTGCCAAGCTGTAACTTCAGCCATGGTGCAAGAACACAGGTGAGGGGAATCCTTGGCCTGGGTGCTCTTTAGCTAAGAACAAGCCGAGTTCAACAGCTTTGCCATTTCTTTCCTTCTGTGGAGTTTAGTGTCACTTGGATCCGAGGTGAATTTAAGATGCTTTTGGTGGTTCACGCAGCAGATGTGAACCACATCACCTGCAGGCTCTGGGGGCAGGCTTTGGGGCCTTTCTGTTCCACCTCTAAGTAACTGCAGCTGCATGTGCAGGTCACCCAGATGTTCCAATAGCTTATTCACAAACATGGATGCTTGGGTGTTTTCTGCCTGTATCCATGACTGTAAATCTGGCGGCTGGACATTGACTAATAAATAGCTGTCCTACATGTAATTGCAGGTCTGAATCAGTGGCTGAGAGCTGAGCACGGAGATATGTTGCAGGTGAGAGCCAGGATAGTGTGGTGTGGTTCCAATGGCTTGTGGCTCAGGGATGTGGTCAGGGTGACCAGGGGACCTTGCACACAGGGTCTGTAGAAGGGGCTGCTGCTGTGTGACTTGTGCCAGGAAAGTAGGTGAATAGTTTGGCTGGTTTCTCTTCTTTAAGAGGTGCAAACATGTTTTGGAAGCAGCTTGTGCTGGGTTTTCTTTAAGCTGTATTTTAAGGTGAGAAGGGCTGACCTTCTGGGGGACACACCACCTTCAAAGCAAGGATTGAAGTTATTTGGAGGAGAGATGATCAAACTCTATGTGTTCTCAAAGGCAGGTTAGAGGGGATCCAATGTGACTTCTACGTAAGGTTTAAATCTGGAAACACTGACCCATAAAATGCACGTTTTAATAAAGACTGCGTGTTCCGCATGTGTTGCGGTGTGATGACTTTATGTATTTCCATTCTCTCTTCCCTGCCTTCTCCGCCCGGCTCTGCCTTGTCCCAGGGCAGCACACGTGGCAGAGCTGGGTGTCCCCTGGGCTCACTGCCACAGTGATGTGCATGGCAAATAACATGTCTTGTGCCCTATGGTGCTCGAGGGAGCTGTGAGGGAGCAGCTCCTGGAGCTGCTTTTGGAGGCAGCAGCAGGCAGGGAGCAGAAGGAAAGGTGGAAGGGGGACATGTGCCACTGCCAGTGCTCCTGGTCTGTGCTCCCCAGTGCTGAGGACAAGAGCAGGGTAATGTGCCCGTTACTGCTGGGTGCTCGCCCAGCCAAGGCTGCAGAAGATCCCTTTCTTCCTTCAGGCTCCCTGCTGCCTGGGTTTTCAGTGGTATCAGAACAAGTGGAATTATAAGCTTTGAAGGAAAATAAAAGGTGAACGTTTGATAGCAAAGGGACTCCTGGTGCTAGTGCTTTCAAATCAGCCTTGCACAGGGTGCAGGACTCCATGCACACAGCAGGGGCTAATTAGGCAAGAGGCAAGTAAAAATTAACCTCTTACTGCCTTGAGGATGAATTTTTTTTTTCTAACTGGTTATGATATTGGAATGGCTTTGTGAGCAAAATACAAGGGCAGAAATTGGTGAAAGATGCATTGCATGATCACCTTCAAACACTGCAGCTCTCTTCCCTGGGACTCTGGAGCAGCACGTTTGGTCCCTGAGTGTACGAAGAGGTAAATGGATGGGAGGGTGTTAAAATGTGGCTACTTGTGCAGATCTTCCATCAGAGCAGTAGCTGTGGCACAGCCCGTGAGGCAGTGAAATAGAATCACAGGATTGTTAGGGTTGGATGGGGCCTCTGGAGATCATCTAGTCCACTTCTTCCCTAGCGAGCAGAAGCAGGCGGTGCAGGAGACAATCCTGATGCACCTCCGTGTGTGCATGACCTGGGGGTCTGCGAGCTCTGCCTGTCCCTGGGTGGGCAGTGATGCTTCCCCGAGGTTTGCTGGGGACTCAGGAGCCACTGGACACAGACCCACTCAGGATGGCTGCAACCTCCTGCTGGGCTCTGCCCTGAGAGATGTCTGGGGTCCCTCCAGCCACTGAGGAAGTGACAGGGGCAGAAAGGGATATGTGGGTAGGGAAATGGAGCATCCCTGAGCAGCACATTTCCCTCCTCCCCTTTCATCCCCCAGACACAAAGGCTGGCTGCTATTAACAGCTCTGTGTGTGCCTTGCTGCTCAGGATGTCGAGGATGCTCAGGGGACGGGTGTAGTGACGATCACATGCATGTGCATCCTCCCCTCCGTGCCCCAGAGCAGTGCTGCTCCTCTGCTTGGCCAGGGGGACGGGCAGGAGAGCAGCAGCTCTGCTTTGCTGCCTTGGCTTTGCAGCTCAACACACGTTTGTGGAAGGCTTCGGGGGACACCAGGCTCGTAAGTGGGCAGTGGTGGCTTCTGAGCAGGGGCTCCACTGTGCCGCGGGGTGCGTGACTGTGCCTATGCTTGTGGTGTGGATGGAGTCTTTGTGCGTGTTGGTAGAGGTGCACAAGGCATTGCCTTCCCCAAGCAGAGCCTCTGCTGTGTGAGCATGAGTGTGTGGTCTCCAGGAACCTGCCTTCTCCATGCAATGGAGGTATAAAGGGTGTGCTGTGTGCGCAGGGAGGAGCAGGCAGGCTGGGAATACGTGGTTGAGGTGGGACTGGGCAATGCTTGTGTGCCTTTTGTGTTTGTGTACGTGCAAGTCTGTGTTTCTGTGAGGTGCTTTGGCGTGGTGTGGTCTATAGTAGGGCACAACACAGCAGCGAGGGCTGCGTGTGGTGCTGGGGCTGAGCAAGCCCCGTGGGCATCTCTCACTTATTAGAGACACAAACCCTGGTGAAATCCCACTGCTCCACAGCAGCCTCTGTGCGTTAATGTGGGGCCTTCTCTGCTGCTCTCTGAAACCAGGCGGTAGCTCCTGCCAGCAGGAACCTCAGCAAGACTCTCCTTAGATAGCAAACCTTGACGTCCAACTCAGGCAGATTAAAGTAGTGAGGAGCCTGCAGCACCTTTGGTGGGATGTGGGCAGATGTGAGACCTCTTGGGTAGGGTGAAATGCTCTGCAAGACTTAACACAGCATCAGCGATGGCTGGTGGTGGAAAACACCCCACGGGGTTTGACCCTCTCTTCCCAAGCTGTGCTGTTTCTCTACGTTCAAACCACATGATGTGTCCTGCATGGCTGCACTCGTGGCTGTCTTCTGCTCTATGCAGGTCTCTGGGGCAGGCTTTGTGCCCGTGGTCTCTTCACATGGAGGATGATGGCCAAGAATAATAGTCTGCAGAGCTCACATCACCCCTGCCCACCCGGCCAAGCCCGAGCGGAGGGGACGGGGCTCGCCACGAGGAGGTCAGGCTGGTCCCTGGTGGGGTTGGGGGAGGCAGGGTTGGGAAGGGTCAGCTCTGTGTGTGGCTGTGACCTGGCATGGGCAGGGCTGTGATGCCCAACCTGCCTCGTCCCATTCCTCTGGCTGTGAGTGGTGCCACGATGGCACAGTGTGGCTGATGATCCCCTTCTTTCCCCACTGCAGGACCTGCGCAACCCAGGACGACACCTCAGAGCTGCAGAGAGGAACTCCCTCGAATGGAGGGGAGCAGCCGGCTGCCTCTGCTTTCCAAGGCAGGAGTACCTTGGCCAGGTACCTGAGCGTGAACCTGAGCCCTTTGTACCTGGCTTTGACACTGGGGTCAGCATCCCCTCCTGCTACATGGCATTCAGTGGCTGCAGGGACTAGCATCTGTGAATGGTGCTCTTTGTGCTGTGGAGAGGGCTGGAGGAAGGGATGGCTTCACCACCTCTGGGGGCTTGGAGGCTCCTTTCCATTGCAGGCAGCCTCCCTCTGTCCCATCACTCAGGCTTTCCTCATGTCCCTGTGGGAATGGCAGCAGGATTGAGGAAGGAGCCATGGGACTCTGCCAGGGTGAGCTCTCTTGCTCATCTATTCTTGGTCCTGCACCATAGAATCATAGAATAGTTAAGGATGGATTTCTGCCTTCATCCTTTGATGGATGCTTGTGGCCCTGCACAGTTGGGCCTGGAACAAGCAGTCCAGCTCCCTCTCAGCTTCCCTGACCTCTTTTAGCCACTGACAGTGTCCCGCAGCTCAGCCCCTGCTGCAGGAGGACCTCCACGAGGGCACCGAGCGCAGCCCTGCGCATTGTGTTCCCTCGCCTCAAGAGACAGGGAAGGCACTTCCTACACCCCGAGCTCTGCGCCGCAGCCTCCCCTCCCATCGGCTCTGTCTGGTGCTGATGGTGCCACCTCTGGGTGAGGGTTTAAGGGTCCCGCGGTGGCTCTCGCCGCTCAGGATGGAGGCTCCTGGACGCTGCGTTTCCCCTCGCTCCGCTCTTGAAGTGTCCTCTCTGGAGCTGCTCGCCTCAGGAAATACCAAATGAGCATCACTGCAAGGGAGGAGAAAGGAAATGATGGGGCTTAAGAGGGAACTGTGAGAGTTTTCTTCTCAGCTGTAGCCACCCTGCTGGTTCTGAAGCTTTCTCCTTGCTCTGCAGACACCTCCTGACTCTTCCTCTTTCCCCCATCCAGGATAGTCCGGCTGGTGTTGGTGCTGAGAGATTGGGCAAGCAAGAGCCTGCATGAGGAGCAGCAAAAGCCAGACCCATTCCTCGAGCGCTTCCAGGGCACCGAGTTCCAGGCAGTGGCTGCCAGGATTGCCAGTGATCTACAGGATGAGGAGGCTGAGGAGGGAGACAAAAAGTAAGGTCGCTTTCCTGTGGCCACAGCCGTCCTTGGCTTGAGATAGCCATGCACGGGGCTTGGGGACTCCCAGCAGTGATGGCTGATGGAGGTGGATGGGGACAGGAAAGGGAGAGGTAGGATGCAGTGGTGGGAAGGGTCCTCCCTGCCCTCTCCAGCCAGCCTGGCACATAGGACCTGGTAGTCTGTCCCTGTGGAAAAGACCTGGACTGTCCATTACCTATGTGACCTTCTCTCCCCTGGTCCATGTCCCAGTAGGAAGCACACATTGCATGGCTTGTGGCAGCTAGCAGACCTCCCCATTTTCAGAGCAGTTCAACACTAGGGTTGGTGTTTAGAGCCAGCCCTGGGTGTGTGAAGAGATGTGCCTTTAGCTTTTGTGCACGTGAGGAGCTGGGGATAAGCCAAGTGATGGATGCGGGATCTCCACACAGGAGACCACAGCAAGCACAGACACATGGGGTTTTGCCAGTCTTATTCATCATCTGCAGGATGAAGGGAGATGAAGGGAGTGTGTTTGCCCAGGCCTCCCCGGGAGCAGACACTGTGACGGCAGCTTTCTGAAAAGGCTCTTTCAAATCCGGCCCTTTCATCTCCTCAGCTCACACTCCTGGTGAAAAGCAATAACCTGGCTTTTCTTCTGCTGGCTAATTAAAGGGCAAAGCTCATGGACTCCTCTGTACCCTGCTATTATACATGGTAATTAAAACACCGAGAAATAATTGTTTTCTGTAGGAGAAAAAGATCTGAGCCTTGTATCTGGGTCTTTCCTAGTCATGGAAAGAACTGTTCTGCCCTGTGAGGTTAAGGGGAGCTTGTTAGTTATCAGAGGGAGATGAAGCATGCCCTGAAAGGGCTCTTGGTGCCAGTGGACTCATGGGGTCACGGTGGTAACTTCTGCTGTTTCCTGGTCCTCAGCTCCACAGGTCAGTAACACAGGTAAGTAACTGCAGGTAATGGTGACTCTGAGCTGCTGTTCACAGCCGTGGGAGACTCCGTGGTTGCAAAGCCTTCAGGAAGAGCCAGATTCCTTCTTCCTGGGCTAACGCAGAGCCCTGGTTTCCACCTGCCATGGGCAGCACTGGTGATTTAGAGCTAAGATTACCATTACCAACACCGTTACCGAGGGTGTCACAACAGAACTGGCTGGCTGCGGGTGTCAGTGCTTCCCATGTGTTGGTGCTGTGTGTCCCAGGGACCAGAAAGTCCCTTCCTCAAAAAACATTGAAGTTGCACTTTCTGAGCAAAAGATAAGCACTTTTAATAGGGAAGCTGGACTGCCTGCTTGTCTGTGCTGTATCCAGAGGGAATGTGAAGTACTGCTGCTGGGTTTGAGCCGAGTGCTGGTCCCCACGTTCTGGGCACTGCGGGTGCTGCTGCCTGTGCCGCTGGGGAAGGAGACTTCAGAGCAGAGGTTTTGCTTTTGAAGCTGTCAGAAGCAGTGGGGTGGGCACGGGGAATCTGTTGGCAAGCGGGTTGGTTTTTTCCTTATTGCTGGAGGAAGTTTTCCGTGTTCAAAAGCGGGAAAGGAGGGAGGGGAAAGAGGAGTTTTACCCTACCAGGCTGCAGCCACTGAGCTTATCTGCCCAGCCGCAGAGTTTCTCTTCCCCCAGCTTCTCCAGTGAGATCTGGCAAGTGGAGCACACACATCTAATCTCAGAGTCCCAAGATGAGCAGGATCAAACACTTGGGAGCAGTTCAAAGGCTGGACTAGGACTGAGCAGGCTGCAGGCAGGCAGTCAGCTACCAGCAGCATGGTGATGGCAGCATTGCAATGCCAGCTGCCCTGGGTTGCTGCTCTGGGGCTTGGGCATCTCCTGGTGCTCTCGCTGATCTGCAGAACACTTTCCTTCCTGCTTTAATTGATCTTTTCTTAAGATCTGTCTGGCATGGATCCATACCTCATCTGGGAGAGGTAATGTCATGTAACAAGAAGTTTTCTGATCACTCTCTTCCAAATGTCTGTTTCTGGCTCTGTCACTGGGGTGCTGTGTGTATGCAGGCCACTGGCTTTGCTTATTGTCGAACAGTTTCCTCTTCTGGTACATTACTGAGCCCAGTTTTAGGGATAAAGAAGCTTAAACAGTGCTGGACATTTTTGCTCAGTAGTGCTGGGATTGGTTTTATCTTACAGACTGGCACTCAAGCTGCAGCTATGTTTTAAGCTAGTCCAGTGCAAGGGTTAAAGGATGTGGCTCAGATGGTTCCTTCCAACCCTATTTTCTATATTTAGCCCTTTATTTATACATTGCCAGCTCTGGTTTCTCTCTGGTTCCAGGAATAAATGGCAGATCTTCGTGGTGGACCCTGCAGGGGACTGGTATTACTGTTGGCTGGCTGTCATTGCAGTTCCTGTCCTCTATAACTGGTGCTTGCTCGTAGCCAGGTGAGTTGGGAGGTTGTAGGCTCCCTGTCTCCTCTAATCCTCCTCTTCAGCTGGTTGTCATGGCTCAGATGGTATCAGACAAATGACACTGGTGGTGCTGGGGCTGGTATGAACCTAAAGGAAGGGGATCCCCCGCTATCTCTGTGACTTCTATGGTGCAAAGGCAGAGCATCCATCCTCTGACCCTGGTTGGAAAGAACCATGATTTTGGGGTAAACCTGTAAGGTACATTTGGGAGGTGGTTTCAAGACATTGCTTTACCCAGGTCAAGGGAGAACAGAGTTTTCCGAGAAGGGGTATTTAATTTCTAGGAGAAGAGGGGCAAATGGCCAAGCTCTGATGCAGAGTTAGGAGCCTCAGGATCGGCCTATATTCAGCTGTAATAATTGGAGATGATATGGAGACTTGTTGGTCTCACCACCCTATTTTATGACCTTCCTCCAGGGCTTGCTTCAATGACCTGCAAGAGACCTATGTTATCCTCTGGCTGGTGTTGGACTATGTCTCAGACTCTGTCTACGTTGGGGACATAGTGATCCGCCTGCGCACAGGTAAGCAGAAACAGCCCTGGCTTGTGAGTGCTTGGCTTTAATCCCCTAGAAGTGGAGATGATCTGCAAGGGAGAGACACCTAACCTACAGCTCCATTAGAAGGAGGGGTTTGTCTCCCTTGGCACTCGCTAATAGGAAGCAGTCTCCACAGAAAGAATTTAATGAGAAATGGGGTAAGTTTCAGAGTGAAATCATCCCAGCTTCCATCTTCACCTTTGAATAATTGTACAAGATTACCTGCATTGCCGTTAGTATTCGGGCATAGCTGAAGGTCTGTATCTCTGATTTGCATCAGTTCAGCTAATGAGTTACCTAAGTGGAAAACCAGTAGAATTTAGTGTTCTCAGAACGTGGCAGGTAGCTGTACATTTCTGTTAGAATTGCAATAATTTGTGATCTGGAGGATGGAAACCTTTGTGTCCCCATTTCTTCATGGCAATAAACTAAATCCCTAAGTGGTATCTTTAGGTGGCTTTTGCCAGTTGAAGGGCTTGAGTGGTAACAAAAGCTTGTAAATGGAGTAGGTCAGGAGTAGGTCAGGTGGAACTGGTAGTACTTGTGCATACATGTGCACGTCATCCCATCAAATGTTTCTCAGAAGCCCTTAGAAACCCTGCAGTAGAGTTGAACATAAGGCAAGATAATTCTCTCCTATGCTTGTCCGTTAGGTTTCTTGGAACAGGGGCTCCTGGTTAAGGACACAAAGAAGTTACGGGATAACTACATCCACACCTTACAGTTCAAGCTGGATGTTCTCTCCATCCTGCCCACAGACCTGGCATACTTCGCTGTGGGATTGCACTGCCCTGAGCTGCGTTTCAACAGGCTGCTGCACTTCTCCCGCATGTTTGAGTTCTTCGATAGGACCGAGACCAGAACCAGCCACCCCAACATCTTCCGCATCAGCAACTTGGTTCTTTACATCCTGGTCATCATCCACTGGAACGCCTGCATATATTATGCCATCTCCAAGGCCATAGGGCTTGGAAAGGACACCTGGGTCTATCCCAACATCACAGACCCTGAATATAGTAATCTGACCCTGGGGTATGTCTACTGTCTCTACTGGTCTACATTGACTTTGACTACCATCGGAGAGACCCCTCCCCCTGTGACTGATGAGGAATACCTCTTTGTGATCTTTGATTTCCTCATTGGTGTCCTCATCTTTGCCACTATTGTGGGGAATGTGGGATCCATGATATCCAACATGAATGCCACTAGGGCAGAGTTCCAGGCAAAAGTTGATGCTGTCAAACACTACATGCAGTTCCACAAGGTGAGCAAAGACATGGAAACCAAAGTCATCAAGTGGTTTGACTACGTGTGGACCAACAAGAAAGCAGTAGATGAACGGGAAGTTCTCAAGAATCTCCCTGATAAGTTAAGGGCAGAGATTGCCATCAACGTCCACCTGGAGACACTGAAGAGGGTGAGGATATTCCAGAACTGTGAGGCAGATCTACTGGTGGAGCTGGTGCTGAAGCTTCGCCCTCAGGTGTTCAGCCCAGGGGATTACATTTGCCGGAAGGGAGACATTGGGAAAGAGATGTATATCATCAAGGAGGGGAAGCTGGCTGTGGTGGGAGATGATGGAACGACACAGTATGCTTTGCTCACTGCAGGAAGCTGCTTTGGTGAGATCAGCATCCTCAACATTAAAGGCAGTAAAATGGGCAACAGGCGCACAGCCAACATCCGTAGCTTGGGCTACTCTGACCTCTTCTGCTTGTCAAAGGAAGATCTTATGGAAGCAGTCACAGAATATCCTGATGCCAAAAAGATCTTGGAGGAGCGTGGCCGGGAGATACTGATCAAGGAAGGGCTGCTGGATGAGTCAGCTACAGAGGAAAGCACTGAAGGGAAGAGCATGGAGGAGAGGCTGGACAGTCTGGCCTTGAACTTGGACACACTGCACACCCGCTTTGGCCGGGTCCTGACAGAGTACAACGATGCTCAGAAGAAGCTCAAGCAGCGCATCACTGTTCTGGAGTCCAAGACGAGGCAGCAGGATCTGGAGGACTTCTTCTCTGATAGCTCAGTCGGTCTGCTTGAGGATGAGGAGGAAGCTTTACTTGGTGGGACACAATGAGGGGTGCAGAGGTCAGTTAGGTGATGTCAGCCTTCTCGCTCTCAGCCTTCTGCAGAGACAATGTTTGCTATTTCACAATGCAGATGCTGTGGCTGCCTTGCCAGTGACTTCTCTCTGGTCCTTAGCATTGCTGCTGCCACCGCGTTGATGGCAGCTCCTGAGATGGCCCCAGATCAGATGATTGTCCTAGCTCCTCCTGTGGCCTGTCCCTTTTCTTGTTGCCTTCATCTGACACCTGGGACTTCGGTCACTAAAAAGAGTAGAATGGCTAATGCCACTGCTAACATTTCCTTCCAGCTTCTGCAGGAGGTCTGTGCCCATCACATCTCCTTCCTCATATTTGCCTTAATAGAAGGTGGGACATGAACGTTGCGTGGAGGGATACCTGGACATGTTGACCTCCCACTCATGTTGAGGTGGTGAAGGTCAAATTACCCTGAAATTAGAGTTTGGGGTAAGGTAAAAAGTTTTTTGTCATCTATAAATTAAATTGTAGGGTTTCTGTTGGGTTGTTTTTGTTTGTTTGTTGTTTTTTTTAATTACTGAGATTATTTTGGTCGAAGACGAGGTACTTTCTGTTCTGCTTTTTCTCACAACACCAAGAGCCCTGGCTCCCCTTTCCTGTGATTTATCGACCCCGATCTCGCCGCTCGTTCTTTGCCAGGGGCGGACAGAGCATTCCCCCTCCGGCATCCCCTGGGGAGCGAAGCCGGGCGGGCCCCCCGCT